GAGGGAAATGGGAGGCTGGGAGGAGGCGGAAAATTTTTTTTCCTTTTCTCAATATAAATAAATAAATAAATAAATAAATAAATAAATAAATAATAAATAAATAAATAAAAAGAACCATTATTCACCACCACTGGTTGTGCAAGCTCGTGCAATCACTTCGAAAATCATTGTGAAAAGTCCTTGAAAGGCAGGGATAAGAAGTAACCTATGACTCAGTTTAACACTCCTGGACATACAACTAAAGGAATTTTTTCCTAATGTCATACATTACATCCTACCACGGTTTCCAGTGCCTCTGTTCCTCCCAGCCTGTCACCACCCACCTCCCGTATCCCCAGATTCACTTCTTTTCTGTTTCCCTTCAGAAAAAAGCTGGCTTCCGGAGGATATCAAATGAACGTGGCATAACAAGTTACCATAAAACTAGACACAAACCCTTATATCAAGGCTGGACTAGGCAGCCAATACAAGGAAAAGTGATCCAAGAGCAGGCAAAAGTGTCAGAGACAGCCTCCTCTCCCACTGTTAGGAGTCCCACAAGAACACCAAGCTATACAACAATACACACATACAGAGGACCAAGCATAGACCCCTGCGTGCTTCGTGGTTGTCACTTCAGTCTCTGTGAACCCCTAAAAACACTGCTTAGTTGGTTCTGTGGGCCATGTTCTCCTGGTGCCTTTGGCCTCCTGGCTCCTACAATCCTTCTTCCCTCTCTTCCAGAGGGTTCCCCAAACTCCACCAAATAACTTTACAACTGACTACCAAGATATTTGTATTCTGTGGCCGGCTCAAAGAGAGGTCTACACTCTAAATCTCTGCAAGAAAAGCCATGCACCAGTGCAGGACACCATGTCTGCAAGGGAGCCAGGTGCTGCTTCACTTGAGCCCCTTGCTCCTCCCTGTCCATCTGATGCAGCAATGGGGAGAATCCATTCAGTCTTATCCCTGTGGGGCAGATTAGAGATGAGGACTTGGATGGAAGAGTTTCAGTTCAGTTTTCAGAACAGCTGTTGCCCATAGCTCTCTGGATTCTCTGGCATGAGCTCCAGTAAGATGCTCTGTGGACAGAGCAGCTCAAAGAGGCAGGATTCATTTCTCTCAGCTCCAAAGGACACGCATGTGAGAGCATGCTTTAGATGCTCTCCTCTGCACTGTGGCCCAGACATGGCCATCTTTCCTTTGTTCCTTGAGTGTCCCATGTCTCTTTGTGCCTTACCTTTTTCAGGTGGACAGCAGTCCAGCAGGATGAGGACCTGCCCATGTGACATCAGATTACATTAGTCTGCTCTCTGAAGACAGCACCTCTAAGTACAGGTGCTTTCTAGAGTTTTGGGGGATAGAACCTCAACACTCAAATTTCTGAGACAAGCATGTCGTCCCACAAGAAATGTCCTTCGTTTCAGGTCCAGTCTCCAACACAAGCTACAGAAAACCCAGAAACTGTGATCTGATGATACTTTAGCAAAATACAGCAACTTTCCATGCTATGCCAAGCTGGTCCTCCATGGTAGAAAACCCCGTGTGATATGTAAATCACAACTCAACTTAAATAGCCAATGCCTATATTCACAGGTGTTAGTACTGAAAAAAGGATCTTTTTACTAATTATAACCACATACATAATTATTTAACTTCAAATCTTTGTAAAATTGTGTTTTTTGCCTAAAGCTCTGCCTGGTTCATGCCAGTGCCAGAATCAAATTCCTTTGTAATGAAACATCAGTCATTCATTGACCTCAGTCAGACCTTTGACCAATGGGTGTTTCCTTGAGCAACCACACCAAGTCCTAGTTCACCCCACTCCCCATGAATTCAGCTGCCTTTAACCACTCTGCTCTGTAAAGCCTGACCTCCAGACTGGAAGAATGAGGAAAGTCGTGGATGCAGAATGTGGTGAGATCTCAGGTAGGAGGAATACCTGGGGAGGAGACAATTCGGCCTCCCGATTCCCTCTTTTCTCCCTTTCTTCTACTCAGCCTCTTCTCAAGGGTTGCTATCGTTTCATGCAAGAGACTTCCTAAGTTCCACAAAGCCATTGTCCTTCAGGATTTCATAGGAAATGGGGTGAATAGCCAATTAAGGAGGGCAGGGGGAAAGAATGTTGTAGTTTTTAAATAACATTGCAGTTACGAGAAGGCCACACAGTGGCCGTGTTGACAGTTATGTAGAACTGCTTCTGCTCGTCCACACACAGCCACTGGGTCTTTATCGCGCACTGAGATCAGTTACTGTGACACTGACCACACAGTAACTGATGGTTTGCTGTGTGCTAAAGATACAAGTTAGTAATAGAAGAAAATTAAATAGATGAAAGACAGAAGACAGAGGTTTCCATCTTGTACAAAAGAAGATAGCATTTTAAGAGGTTAAGTAATTCTGTCCTCAAAACAATTAAATTTTAATATGGCTAAGAACGTAAATTTGAAATAATATTGAGTTAGTCTTTGCTATGACTTTACTCAGACAACATGGAATTAAATTTTAAAATTCCTCCAAAAAAAGGATGTATATAATTCAAAATAGTAATACAATATTTAAAAAGCATTTTTTTTGCAAGGAAGAAGTATTTATTTAGATCATCAGCAAAAGGGTGCTTTATTCAGGAAGTGAAACAGGAGGGCACAGGGTAGATAGAGAGCTGCTGCTCCTCCCTCCGAGCATCTACGACACTGAAACGTTGAGGAAGGGCATTCTCATCAGCCCCTTGGGAAGAGCAGGGAAACAGCCTCAGAGAAACACCTTCTCTATCAGGGCACATGGAGGGTGAGTAGTGGGGAAGATTCTTCTGCATCCATGACAGGCTTTGAAAGGAAGAGGGGGTTCTCGGGAAGTAGAAGAAACAGATTTTCTTCATTTGCCCTGTTCCTGGTGACTCCTGAAGCACTCACTTGTTCTTGGGTGGGCACTTCGGCTGGCAAGGTGTAGGAGGTTGCACAGGAGGGCATTTCTGCTGCCAATACTGAGGGGGGCATGGCTCAGGGCACTGTGGAGGAGGACAAGGCTCTGGGCACTTTGGAGGAGGACAGGGCTCAGGGCACTTTGGAGGAGGACAAGGCTCAGGGCACTTTGGAGGTGGGCACACAGGAGGAGGCTGGCAGGGCTGCTTGCACTGCTGCTGTTGGTAAGACATCGTGCTGAAGGCTCAGGATCTGAAAGACATTACATAGTGGTTCTCACAAGAAGTCCCCACAGAGAATGAAACTAGGCTTATGGGCTGCAGAGCCTTTGCTTCTCTTCCTGTGAACTTGTGCGAGAATCTCCCCCTTTGTTCTAGGACATCCTTGGCTCCATTTTCTACTTTAGCATTTTTTTCAGTAGGTTTAGCCAACCCTTTCTTTATCTCATATCATTTTCCCTAAGAATATATTTCTGCTCCACAGCACTGGCAATAATATTTATGTGAAGGGAATATCCTCATCACCTTGGCATTGTTGTAAACAGTACCCATCTCATGCTTGCATATTCCAAGCAGAACGACTTGGCAGCACAGACAAACAGCTGTTGAAAGAATAGGTAGGTTTTTCTACTGCTTGTGACACAAGCCTTTGAAAGGGATTCCATCAAGGTGTGAATACAAGAAAAATACACGTTTTGTTTTGTTCTCATTTCAAACCAAAACTTTGATTATCTTGCTTTTTCATGTAGATATCGAATTATAACTCAAACAAACACAAAGCAAGCTAGCACATTACATGCTTGTCCTCCATTCCTAAAGTGTCATCTGCTGTCACATTTAACCCATGATCAGTTTGGACCACCAAGCTCACTGTGTTTAGATTAAACTCATCACATGAGAATACCCCAAAAGCAGACCCATTCAAGAAGTCAAGAAATCGGACTCACCAGTTTCTCCGGAGTAGATCAGTGCTTGAGTCCCACGGATACTGCACCCAAACACTGAGAGTCTCTTTATAGGACTGCCTGCCTCACCCAGTACCAAATGGGTCTGCCTATCATGGGCAGGTCCAAGAATTTCCTAATAGAAATGCAAATCCATCCATAACTGGATGGATGGGACTCTGCAAAGTAGGAAATATCCCATCCTTAGTTAATGAGTCTTTTGTGACTCAGAGACCTTCCTTTCCTCTTGGTTCCAGTCATTGGGCAGCTGGAAAAGTTGGGGAATTCTCCAGCAGCTTGTTAGAGCTCTTTCTTGACTGAAGACCACACCCCTTTGTGTGCCACAATCGTCCTTTATCTTACACGCATGTTTTTATATTATTTGTCCTTCTTTAGCTTATTGCTATTTTGAATAAATTCATTTCCATTTTGGGGTTAGGGGGTAATTTTTGTTTGTTTGTTTGTTTGTTTTAAATTTCCTCAGACATTTACAAGTTTGTTAGAAGGAAGAAGAGAAGCAAAATAAAGTTTATTCTGGCCCGAGCTCCCCTTTAACAAGCCCTTTGGTCAAGGTCTTCTAGTTGCCTAAGTTTACATTTTTTTCTAGAAACATAGAGAAATAATACCTGTCTCTCAGAGTAAGTGCTAACAACATTGGGCCATCAGTGATCCCGTTCAGCATAAAATTTTCCCGCTCATCTTTCCTTGCCCCGGGGTATCTTAGATTTGACCTACATTCCCTACTTTTGGCAGCAGTCATCTTCCCAGTGAGAAGGGGGCTACTCTCCGTGGATACTTCTTTCTGGTCACAGAGAAGCATGAGGTCTCCAGTGCTGTTTTTCTCTGCTTCCCACAAGGATGTATATTACAGCCTTTTAGTTAGTTAGTTAGTTAGTTAGTTAGTTAGTTAGTTAGAGTTAGCTAGTTAGAGTTAGCTAGTTAGAGTTAGTTAGCTAGCCAGTCAGCCAGTTTGATAGTTAGTGTTAGTTTGTTAGTGTTAGTTAGTTAGTTAGTTAGTTAGTTAGTTAGTTAGTTAGTTAGTGTTTTTTTTTTCAAGACAGGATTTCACTCTGTAAGTTCTAACTGCCCTGGAACTCCCTCTTTAAACCAGTGTGGCCTCAAACTCGCAGATATCCACCTGTCTCTGATTTCTAATGCTGGAATTAAAGGAGTGAGCCACCATCACCCAGCAGCCTTTTTATTTTTTATAAAACATACTCTCAATCATCATATTAAGGAAAAGGGGAGGCATGAACAAATATCCCAACCATTCATTCAAAATTTGTTTAGCAGACCTCACATGTGCAGTCCCCAGTGGTGCTTCCTAGGGTGCAGAACAAGAAGGCTTATCACATATAATTAATTCATTATCACATATAATTAATTATATATTATCACATATAATTAATTGAAAGTAAGTTAGGAAAGGGCGATGAGGGCACTAAAGTATGAAATCTGAGGCAGAGGGATATGAAGCTTGGTCAGACTTACATGTTGAATTTTACTTACTAACTTTCCAGGTAGATTTACTAGCTTTGAAGACAATATTTCAAAATTCTTTTTTTTATTATTTTTTTTTATTTTATTGAGAATGGGAAAAAAAAGTTTCCGCCTCCTCCCAGCCTCCCATTTCCCCCCCCCTCCCCCCCATTCTTCTCCCCCTCCCCCCACTCCTCTCCCCCTCCCTCTCCAATCCAAAGAGCAGTCATGGTTCCCTGCCCTGTGGAAAGTCCAAGGACCTCCCCTCTCCGTCCATGTCTAGGAAGGTGAACATTCAAACTGGCTAGGCTCCCACCAAGCCGGAACATGAAGTAGGATCAAAACCCCTTGCCATTGACCTTGGCTTCTCATCAGTCCTCATTGTTCGCCATGATCAGAGAGTCCGGTTTTATCCCATGCTTTTTCAGTCACAGTCCAGCTGGCCTTGGTGAGCTCCCAATAGATCAGCCCCACTGTCTCAGTGGGTGGGTGCACCCCTCATGGTCCTGACATCCTTGCTCGTGTAAAAAATAATGACTTCTCAAAATTCTTTCTGTAAACGTATTTTTTCTGTCTTTTCTGCAAGTTCTTCCCCCATTCTACCTCTCTACCCTCTTCTCCTACATATTCCAAATCATACAGAGAGGACTATAACACTGTTTTGTGTTAGACCACGCTAGCACTCACTGGTCACAGAAGACACTGCCAAAGCATTTTGCAGACTCTCCCCATTCCTGTCCCTTCACCTCTTCCCACAATCCCTAGGACTACGTAACTATGCAGTCAACATTCACAGTGACATTGCCAGAGTCACTTTGATCAAATGGTTAGAAACTTTAAAAGTCCCCTCAGAGTTAGAATCTGGGGTGTGAGGGGAGCATGAAAATAAAACCTCTCACTTTGTACAATTAATATTCGCTAATAGGGCTTATTGAAAAGCTACATCATAATACTGCCAGCAACAGAGTGAGAGTAGCTGTCATTTCTTTGCAAACTGGGGTGGTGAAGTTGAACGTGTTTTTTGCAGATCAGCTATAGCAGGGGTTCTCCACCTATGGGTTGTGAATCCTTGGGGGACAGAATGACCCTTTCACAGGGATCACCTAAGACCATCTGAAAACACAGATGAATTGTGACAGTAGCAAAATTACAGTTATGAAGTACCAATGAAAATAACTTTGTGGCTGGGTTCACCACAACATGAGGAACTGTATTAAAGAGTCACAGCGTTAGGAAGGCTGAGAACCACTGAGCTATAGACGGAACTGTCCCAGATGAAGAGTGCAGACTTTCTCCAGATTTGAACCTCCAGGGGCTGAGGCAGAAAACACAGCATACTTCTCGCTCTCGCTCATGCTTCTCTCTACCCCTGTGGACAAAATGTCGAATGAACCGTGTTTTATGACTGCTAAGGGTAAGAAGTTCCACACTCAAGCCCAGCACTTCTGCTTCCTCACTGCTGAAGGAATTTCATGAGTCCCTGCTGCAACATGAGAAATAGCAGAGAAGAGCAAAAGATTTCAATTTTTCTAATACATGACAGTTTCCCCAAATTTTACTGCTATATATCAATATACTTTTTAACAAAATGGCTCCTGCAACTCAAGATTATACAATTCATAAAATTATGAAATAAATAAAAATTGGAAATGTAGCAAAATATTCCTGATATCTCCAGAGAAATGGTGGCTCCAGCTACCGCTGGATTTCTACCTTCTGCTCATTCCCCATCATCCTTTCATAATCTCGCCAAATCAGATAAACTGTATGAGATATATTGCAGAATTATTCCCATATCTATTATTTTTATTGCATTTATTTAGCCAGTTGTGTGGGGAGAGGCATATGCTAAGGTGTGGGTTTGGAAGTCAGAGGACAACTTATGGGATTCACTTCTTTGTTTCCTCTGTGTGGGTCTCAGGGATCAAACCCAAGTGGTGAGACTTGGAGGCAAGAACCTTGACAAGGGGTTGGAGAGATGGCTCAGAGGTTAAGAACATTGCCTGGTCTTCCAAAGGTTCTGAGTTCAATTCCCGGCAACCACATGGTGGCTCACAACCATTTATAATGAGGTCTGGTGCCCTCTTCTGGCCTGCAGACATACACACAGAAAGAATAGTGTCTCCATAGCAAATAAATAAATAAATAAATAAATAAATAAATATTATTTATAAAAAAAAAAGAACCTTGACAAGCAGAGCCATCTTGCAGGCAGTATAGGTCCAACCATGCTCTGTGAGAAACCATTGCAATATAGAAACTCTCACAAGAGTATGGCACAGATTTAAGGAAAACCATTTGTGGTAAGCCATCTTTATAGATTCCTACTAAATCAAATTTTTTAAATATTTATTTTAAAGTATCAAAACTCTAAATCAAACAAGAAAAAGATAAAAGACTACTACTGTACATCAGAAACATTGAGCTGGCACAGTGCTAGAAGCAAGATTTTTGTACATGATGTTTTCTTCTTTTTTTTTAATAGAAAGCATTAAAGAGAAACTGAATTTCCACCCAACCATGATGCACGCTCTTTATTCATGACACTAAGAGGAAATACATTGTCGGGTAATGGAAACACCTGCCTGAATCAGAGAAGTCACAGTTCAGGGTGTGGTGGGGCTCCTCTACCAGAGGCTTTGAGAAGCTTAGACTTGAGGTGGTCCTTCCTTACAGAGGAGCAGTTTAACCACTTCCAGAAAGAACTGCTGCTGCATTGCATTCCGGGTAGAGCAGTAAGGAAGACTAGTCAAGACAGGATAAAAGACAAGATGGTGATTCAAAGCCTTGATCTTGGAAGGAACATTTGTTCTTAATTCTTGGGTTAATTCTCGGTTATCTAATATAATATTCTGCCTCCCACAGAGTTCCCAAATGCCTCCTTCCCACTTCTTCAACTTTCAAAGGAAAACATGTACACTGTGACCTGCTACCACCCTGCCCCATGCCAGGGTCACAAAAGCCATTAGTGATTATGAAGGGCATTGAGCCAAAAGGACTTAGGCTGGGGAGGAAGCGGTGTGTTTGTGCTTACATTAAGTGATACTTTAAATGCATTAATTCATCTGAAAGTGTGAAAGAAGTATAGCATGTTTTCCACTGGCTGCTAGATAGCACCAGGGAGCAGACAACAACATGGGCCACTTGGTACCCAAGAGATAGTAGCTACATGTCTACATGCCTGCTTGCTTTCCTCTGGCTGCAGTAGCTGCTACTGTCATCTGATGCTTCCCTGATTCTCCCATCACAGCTCAGTCTTCAGATGTAATCGGAGAAGAGCAGTGAGGACCAACCCATCTATGTCACAGTGTCCACTTGAGATGAGCATACCCCAGTCTCCCATGTGTATTCCACGCCAGAAGGGTCACCTTAACAGCTAAAAAATACAGGGGAAATTCTTCAGAAATAGGGATGCTCTGGTCTCAGCAGTCTTCGCCTGGTAAATATTGATCCAGCTCATTCCCCAATGTTGTAATAGCACGATTTATTGCGGACAATTTCATATGGCAAAGAGATTTTTTTAAGCTTTACCTATCATAACCTGCATTTGAATTTCAAAACTGTGAAATAATGAGTAACGCCAACTGGAAATCCTGAAAGTTTCAGAACTATTGTTTTGAAAGAAATTCCAATGGAAACTAAAAAGTGCATTGTGAAAATGTTCACAAAATGCTCATAGAAGAGTAGTAGTAACAAAATTATTGGGGATTGAGGTCCACCTCCATAATATATCTCAAATTTTTCTAGCAGGATTTAATTCTCAAAAATTCAGAAATTTGTCTGCCATAAAAAGACCTTGTCCTGCCACACTCTCCCCATGACACTTCCCCTGTGCTTGCCAGACTCTGAGGCCACCCCACTTTCACAGGCACTGGACTGTGAACTACTTGAAGTCCTGACTCTCGGACATGTGATAGAGGCATTACCTATATACCCTAGACTTGAAGCATAAAGACAAGATTAAATATGCTCAGAACCTGGGGAAATGGAAGTTCCATTTTATGTCCTCACCTCTGGTTTTAAAGGATACATGAGTACAAGTAAACTCATGAGGTCTGACTTTGCTGAGAGTGATGAGTTTCCTCTATCCCCCCTGAGACTCTGACCCCTCAAGGCAAAGTGTTCACGTTTGTCTGTTCTTTAATATGAGTCTTCTTTCCACAGATCCTCGTTGACTACACAAACAGACACAGATGTTCCACTCACCAGCAAAAGTCAACTCCAAATGGCAGACCTAATCCATCTGTAAACTCTGGAATAGAGTCTGGCAAATAGTGGACATTGAATAAATCTTTATCCGGTTAGCTCATGAGTGACTTCTCTTCTTTTCCTCAAACACAACACACATTATTCCACTTCAACATAACTGATTGGATGAGATCACCAAAACTCTTCCCTAGAATATACACTTCCAGAGGAAGAAGAGATGTGAGCATGGTGAAACAAAGCCCCACTCTTAGCCGTTGCCCTTCAGTTGAGTTCTAAGCAAGGCAGAAGCATTGACTCACCCAGGCAACAGGACACCATCCCTTGCCAGGAGCCAGAGAGTTTTTGGTGAGATCAGTATTATTCACAATGTCTTAATAATAAGTCTCTACAAACCATATCATTATCATTGAGTCTACAACTGGAACATAGCCTCTCAGACACACCAAGGGACTTCCCCTGGGAGAAAGCAATTCCTCGTATCCTTCTGGTATATTCATGACATAATTTCTTAAAGGAAGACTTCACTTCCACAACCTAATATTAAAATTTGACGTTATATGCCTAAATCTGGAACACATCCACAAGAACCTCCCGTTTCTGAACATATACCCCCCCCAAGTGTCTGTTGTCCATGACAATGAAAATATTGATACTCTTGAAGGCGCAGTGCATGGACTTCTCAAAGGAAAATATATTACAGACTGGATCTTCAGGATCAACCAATTTCTCTTTGGGCACAGAGTCCACTTGGTGGCAACTGTCATCAAGCAAAAAGCCAAATTAGTGTTTTGAAGTGTTTGAGATGAATGTTGCAGGCAGACATTACAGATGTTCATTTGAATTCAGCTGACCTCCATCTAAAATGCTTGGCCTCTGTCAAACAGCCCCAGTCCTCCAAACATCATTACATGCTTTTTAGCTCACAAACATGATCCTGGACATTTACTCTGTGTTTAGACTAACATTTTTTTTAAATTTTTATATATTTCCTATATTTTATCTGCATCCATGTAAGTGCACCATGTGTGCAGTACCTGAGAAGGCTAAAAGAGAAAGCCAAATCCTCTGGAACTGGAATTATAGGTGGTTATGAATCCTGGTCCTCTACAAGAGCAGCAAGTGCTCTTAACCACTGAGCCACCTCTCCAGTTCTAAGACAAGCATATGATATGCAGTTTCAAAAATCTAAATAACAGAGTTGGTTTTATTCTATTGCACAGTTTCTGGGTGGTATGATACGTTATAGACAGGAGCAAGGGCAGGGGTTCAGGTAGAGCAGAAACAGGTAAGTTTTAGCTGAAGTTGTAAATTTGAGTTGTTCCCCATGCCTCTGGGGAGTGTGGAATATTTCGGTCTTGGGTGTTAACTGAGAAAGCGAAAATAAAACAAAGCCAATTTGCAACCTCCACCTACAAAATACTCCATCTCTAACTCAGTCAGGAGTTTCTTGGTCTTTTATTATCATCATTCCCAAAGGAATAAAGTCCTTTAATTACTTTAAGCAAAGTAAGTTTCCATTCGCCAGTTTCTGAACAAGGGAGATGAAGTTAAGCCCATTTCCTTTTCTTTGCTGCTAAGGAGACTCTTGGTTGCCCAACATTTGTTAATAGAACTATTTGCTCGATGTACTGATAGCTAGCAGTGGTTTTGCTTGTTTGTTTTTTGAGATAGTGGCTCACTATGAAGCCTTGGCTGATCTGGTCTACCACATCCCTTTCTATGCATATGGCCTCAGACCACAGCAGACATCTCCTAGGATAAGACACGTTCCCCTTAGAGAACAGCTTCGGAGTGAAAGGAGAATGTAGGTGGTAGAGGAGCATCAAGGATGCAGCAGAAGACATGCAGACAGCAGTCTTCACCCAGCATCCTCTATAGAAATGCTCAAAGGAAGTTAGTTCTGCTAAGTGGGGATGGTGCAAGCCCATCGTGATCAGGCCAATCTAGCTGTGGTTTATGACTTCACAAAACAGTCCATTTTTAGGGAGTGGAGGAAGCACTAAGTAAATGAAGTTCTTAGTAATTGTGCATTGTTCACCAGGGCACAGCCAAACTGAGGACTCCAAGTCCTCAGAACTGTCTGGGCCAGGCTGAAGAAGAGTGGCAGAACTCTCTTTGGGAATTCAAGAATGAGTATTTATGAATGGTTAATCAGTATGTGCAAAGATTAGCAAGTGGAGCTTTCTCCACCCTGATATTTGTAACCTGAGACTATTCATCTACAGAAATCTACCAAGACTAGCTAATACCACACACACACACACACACACACACACACACACACACACACACACACACACACACATACTATGGCATACTCAGCAAGCTGCTGAGGTTCCAGGTTGTTGTTTTAGTGGCAGTAGATCCCACCTGACTTTACTGAACATGTCTATATGTCTGTACTTACTTCTTTCCCTTGCTGCCCCTACTCAGGATTCTAGGACCCAAACCACTTGGGATGTATCACACATTTTTTTATTTTTGCTCTGAATGTAAGAATCCCTACACATTTTCTTGTGACAACCTCGGCCTTCCATAATTTCACCAACAATGAAGAGAAAGATTGTAGACTTTGATATTTAATCTGCACATGGCTATCAGATATGGGAGCCTTGCTTAAAAGCGTAGGGCTGACTGATTCCCAGGAACTCCCTCAGCATTAAGCATTTATACTCAGTGTGAAATTCCCTAACTATCTTAGGAATAAAAGTGACATAAGGACAGGAATGCGGGAGAAAAGAAAGCACCGTCAACAATGGTGCTGAGAAAACTGGGCGTCCACATGCATAAGATTGACATTACATCTGTATCTATCACCTTGCACAAAACCTGTCTCCAATTGGCCTAAAAGACCTAGATGAATAAGCCTGAAGCTTCTGGAGACTACACAGGAATTGCCCTACATGATGCGCAGGTGTAGGAAAGGGCTTTCTGAATAAGACATCATCTGCCCAAAAATCTAGGCCAGTGATTAAGTAGGACTTCATAAAACTAAAAAGCTTCTGCACAGCTGAAGAAACACTGGCCAGATGAAGAGCAAGCCCACAGAACTGGACAGAATTTTCCAGCTACATATCTGGCAGTGGCTTAATATTCAGATAAAATAAATTTGATTCAGAATCAAGGCAGGATTTGAACAGAGAATTCTCAAAGGAAGAGGAAAATGGCTAAAGAAATATCTCAAAATGTCCATATACCTGTAATATGTCTCTTTTTTTTGACCACATGAGCCTTTAATTTGCTAAGCAATATGGCTAGGATTAAAGTCGTGGCTTTGATGACTGGATCCACCCCATGCCTTAGCTTTCTGAGAGTCTATCTTCTTGGTGGAGGTACTGGCAGGAGCCATGTTTATTACCATACCTGTATGGAGTTTCAAGTCCTTGCTACTACCAAGAAGCATACTGTTGGTTATTCATCAACACCATTTAAATGTTTGGTCATGGGGTCTCTTTAAAGAGATGCAAGATTATTGCAGCTAAAGCTAAGTCAGGAAGCTTCTCTTAAATGAGACACAATTGCCTCTAGCAAACAGAGCCCATCCCTCCCCCAAAAAGTGCAGCTACCAAGATGTTGTGTTAAATTCTGTTTTTTTTTGTGTGTCTAGACTTCCTTTTCAAGCTCTTTCGGGTTTTATGTGGATGTAGTTGGCCCACGTTGGTATGCCATTTTGTAGGCAGAGGCTACTTGTTCATTTCCCACAGCCATTCAGTCACAAAGAACCACACAAAGGCCTATATTAATTATAAATTGATTGGCCTATTAGCTCAAGCTAATGTAACTAATTCTTACATCTTAAATTAACCCATAATTCTTGTCTGTGTTAGCCACATGGCTTGGTACCCTTTATCAGTAAGACATTCTCATCTTGCATCATCTGTCTCTGAGTAATGATTGCAGATTGAGCCTTTCCTCTTCCCACAATTCTCCTATTCTGGTCACCCCACCTATACTTCCTGCCTGGCTACTGGCCAATCAGCATTTTATTAAACCAATACAAGTGAAAAATCTTTACAGGGTTCAAGACCATTGTCCCACAGCAACCCTTGACTAAGCTAATATGATCTCTAAGTACATTTTAAATATTTATCCTTATACCCACAGGTAAGTGTCATTCTTGGCTTTTATTAAGGAAAGTTCTCTTTGAACAGAGAAAAATCACAGAAAACCCAGTAAATCAAAACATAAAGTTTGGAGCACGGTCTCAACTAATCCATTTACAACATAACTACTGCGCTTCAGGCTCAAGGAGCATTGTGGAAGAGGGGGGCAGAGAAATTGTAAGAGCCAGAGGAGCAGGAAGTTGGCTGTGAAATTATGCTTCCTAGAAAAGTCCAAGAAACTACACCCATGAAGTCTCACCACTATAGCGGCCTAACAGTGACCTGAGCAAGGACTATACCAATATTTTGCTTATATCAAAGAGTGAAATCTCAGGAGACCTTGGCCCTGAACAAAGAACTACAGACAGCAAAGGAATTCTAAGAGTGGGAGAAATAGTCTTTCTCGGGGATGAGCATGCCAATTGGTTATCCATACAGACAAGTAACATTCTACAGACGGAACAGGGTACATTATGTGTTTAGGATTATATATACATATACATATGGACCGTGAACTTAAAAGATAGCAAAAGGGGTACATGAGAGGAGTTGGAAGGAGGAAATGGAAAGAGAAAATAATCATATTAATTTCAAATATATAGAGAGAAATGAAAAAAGAATAGTCAAAGAAGCTTGTGTCATTTGAAAAAAATAGATTTTTTTTAATGTTTTAATTAAATTTAGTTTTTTTTTAATTTTTGTGCTCAAAGGTTGTCTGAAACAAAGTATGTGGTCATAAATTCATTATCTACTTAGCATTCCCAGCCCAGAAGAGACAGGGTAATGGAAGGAACTTCTTACAATAAAGTAGCAAGACACAGCACACTCTCTGGAGTCAACAATCTTTTGGTTTGGGTAAAATACATTGAAATAAGTCAATATTTGATCCAGTGGCTGATGTAAGCCCCACAGTCTCCTCTGTGGTCTGGGTAATTCTCTCCCAGGTCTTCTATAGTCTTCTCCAGTTTGAAAACCAGTCTCTT